TATATATATATTTATTATACATAATATANATATATATATATATATATATATATACACACACACACACACACACATATATATATATATGTATGTATATACATACATACATATATATATATATACATAATATATGTGTGTGAAAATCAAAAATTGATGTGTATTGTGTACATAAAATATCTCCATTAAAAAAGTGATATCTACATGAGAAAGCATTCATGCGTATGTTCTGTTCTCTAATATGTCTGTGCTCCATTATTTGTTTGTTTCGCATATACATTCCTATTAGTTGATGGTTGCCTAATGGGTTGACGATCAAAGACTTGTATCGACCAGACAGCATATCCGTCGATATGTACTGTTCTGGAATCTTTACACTCGTTTGTAATTTTGATTCTTTTTTCAAACTCGTAATTTCGAGATGTACAGTACAATAGGTTTACATTTAGAGTCCTTTGTGCGAATCAACGAGATATCACATACATCTATAAAAGATATGGTCATCGATTTACAATACTCAATCAGTCTGTAAAAGAACAATCCGGCACACAGACTGGCGATATATTGGACTTGAATGTCATATTCCACAATAAAAAAAACAAATACATACGAACTAGCGTAGGAGAATTTGATATTGACCATACTGCCGGCGGCGTCTCCGGGTTTATCATCTTTATTGTGTACAACACAATTGAGTCGCACCAGTCCTGCAGTGCCTTCTCAGGGAACTCTAACTACTATAAACATATGTACACACCCCCGAGTGTGCACACGCTCGCAGGGAGTCTATCTCAGCCCTCAAAACGAGCCGTACGGCACCACAGCACAATGTTCACAAGCCCTGGATTCTATTTACTGAGCCTTCTTACTATCGCTTCGACTGGCCGCGAGCGCAAGCTCAGCCGCCACGCGTTCCTTCTCAGCCTTGTTATCGAATAGTTCAGTACCAAACACCTGGTCCCAGAATTTGGTAGTAATGCCGAAGCCCAGGTCCCAGTTCTTGTAGTGGTGATTGAGATGGTACGTTTTCATCATACGCAGATATTCTGTGGGGGGGCGTCCGTGATGTAGGAAGTAGTGCACCATGTCATAGCCGACATACCCAGAAACGGCACCGGAGGCGATGGCCCAGATCAACGATTCAGGTAACCGTAATCTGAGACAGTTGGGTTAGGAAGTATGGATGCACGGAAATCAGATACGATACGAAAAAGGATAATGAGCGGATATACGGCAGAATGGATAGCAATGTGTGTGATATATATATTCCATGCCAGCGTCCAATCAAGTCTTCATCAAAGTGCACAGGCGGGGTGCACTGATAAAAAATAGATTGCTCAAGACTAAGTGTACTGGTGGACACTTTCATGGGAAACGCACTCAGTTGTACGTACAGAGATGACAGAGCAGCGCAAAACGCGTATGGAGGGGTCTATGTTCGGCATGACACCCCCCCCCCACCACACACACTCCGTATGTATCGAATATGGGGTTGCTATATTAGTCAGTGGTGGTGGTGAATCCAAAGGCACTGCCGTATAACGGGGCGATACCCTCAACCGCACGGGCGCATGTGATATACACATGATTACACATGATACGAACGAAGAATGCGACGGGGTGGATGCAATCATGAAACGAATGCTCAGTACTCAATTGGAAAACCTCAGCAACACGTTGTACTGTTTTCGCAAGGTCACGCGAGTGATCGATCGGGGAGAGAAAAATCTCTCGCAACAGAATAGGATACATTATATATAGAATGAGAATATGTAACAAATCTATTTATGCGCAACAGCGACGAAGAACGGTATAGCCAAAACCGCACGGTATGAAGTAGCTTGCTTGTGGTCAATCAGTACGTGCTAATATTAGATCACGACAAAATAAACTTACAAGAAGAAGAAGCTTAGCACAGGAACTATCAGGATGGTAAACAACGTCGGCGGCATCACCAGACGGAGTTTATCCATAGGCAAGAAATGATGGATACCATGCGCGATGAAGTGTATCGCTAGCGCTTTCGGATGATTTGGCAGCCAGTCTAGGTATCGTACGATGAGAAGAGGATTTGAAGGGAACGAGACAGTAAGGTAAATATATTGGCAGATAGCAATGATACGTGGTCTAGGGGACATTAACAGCGAATGGGCAGACAAGTGAACGCCAGGAAGATGTACAATGTCTTGCGTGAGCGGGTAGAAAGCAGCGCCACATGACAGAGATACTAATGATAACTAGCGATGAATACAGATAAATGTGCAACATGGCAGAAATAATACCAATGACAATTAGCGATGAATACAGATACATGTGCAACATGACAGAGAGACAGAACGAAAAAAGAGATCGCTCAACACGAAACGAGACGATGTTTCCTACGACCGCAGAAAGCGAGACTAATCGAACGCATGACGAGGGCGAACGACCATAGTATAGGCATGTTAAAACAACAACTCACGTAGCTGGTAGACCCAGATATATACCGAATCATGATTGAAAACTATTGTATGCATTACTGGAACTCTAAACATAGTCCTTGCAAACATTAAATATACGCAAGTATATAGAAAATACGGAATCAACGCAAACCCCAAATTTATCAGGCGGCTGCAGCCGAACACAGCCAGAAAGGCCCTTGCGAGAGAATGGGCAAGAGAAGCACTACATGATCGATCCTGTAGTAAACAGAAGGCATGCACTACAAGGCCTATACAGAGGTACCAGAATAAAACATCGCCACAGTGACGCGCATAGCACCAATTGAATAGAGTTGCGAAGTCAGATACATTCAACAGCCAAAAGCCGACTGATTGTCGGTAAACAAGGGAATGTAAATGAACCACTCTAAAGCTGAGTTTCAAGCGGTACATACGCATGCACCACAACGAGCAAGCATATAACACTTGGCATAGTGAGGAAGCGTCACGGTCGTAGCAAGAAGCCCTGCCTCTTGCCCTAGTTTGCATGGCGAGAGTAATAAGTAAACGATCATGGACATGGGACACATTTACAAGACAACGCGATCACGCAGACACTACAGCGCAATCTAGTACCAGGCAGACACAGACAGAGCCATGCACGCAGACACTGCAGCGCGACTTACAGTCTATATGGAAGAGGAACCGATGGAATGAGTACTCAAACAGCGTCCACACGAAGATGCCAAGTAGGTACAAGGGTAGCATGGCAGCGGGACCGAATGTGGGCAGGGCGAGCGAGTACATGTACATCGACACAGGGATCCAGATCAGAGGCACCATGTACCACGGCGTCATAGTAAGGTTTTCTAGCACTCCTCCGAAGATAGGGGCCGGTGAACCTGAGTGTGAATCATGCATGCACAGAAGATAAGAACAGTGGTTCATGACATGTGTAGCGAAGTACGAGGCATAGCACGACTGTGCCTTCCGCAGACTTATTAGGAGTTAGGAACTGACAGCTAACACACAGTGTGTGATCACACGAACGAAGACTTCTAGACTTTTTAGTTTTGCGAACACACGAGGTATCCAAACTCTGTGAACCGGATATATACACTGACAAATAACCTCAACGTACATCTGGGCACATAATTTAACACTGACTGCTACCGACGGCATATATATTAAAATAACTGTTAAAAGAATTTCCGACTATTAAAACGATTGTGACGAACTAGCGCTTGATTTCCGACCTCACAATATTACCAGGCACAAAACACACGCACACACACACGCAATACAGACACACAAGCACACACTGACTACAAACGCATATGCAAACATAAAGAGACACACACAGGGCGATGCAACCGGATAAGATTCATTTAAAAGATACTACAAGCGAACACTATGTCGAATAATTCTCACAGTCCAATATACACACATGCTACAGGTATGAAACATCCGCACAAGTAACAACGTAATACACGCACACACACATAATGGGACACTCCCACCAGTAATCAGAATCAAATGCAACATTGGCCAGTACTGTACTTGACTCGTATGTATACGCGCATATATTGACAGAGATGTATAAACACCCAATCACGCCATACACCCTGCCGAGAGTGATAACGGGCCTCAGTGTGGGACACACAGAGACGCATAATGGATTGCATAAGCTGTAGTTCAAACAATTGAACAGAGCTAACATTTCAGGCACATTAAGATTTCGAATTAAATCACACAGAAACCATTTATTTGAGAGTGGGGAATCACAACAACATGGCTGCTAGACCCGCACCACACGCGACAGCTACCAAATCGAACCTATATTACGACATGATATATATATATATATATATATATACATACATACACACACACACATATATATATACAATATACATATATATATATATATATATATATACACATGTACATGTACATATATATATATATGTATATATATACATATACATATATATATATATATATAATACTACTAAGTGCACGCACTCAATGAATTTGAAGTGCAATAGGACCGGATTACGAGCAAGAAGAATTGGGATCTGGTAGTGAACACGGTTCACATTTATATACATAAAGCGTACAATATGACAAATCAATAGCGCTCCATGGAGATAACCACAATGAAATCGCAGATAGTGTGATCAGATGGTGTAAATACATACGAGATTAAACCACCCCATAAACGCTCAAGGATGAAAATCAAAGCAACATAGAGTGCTATATCACGCTCAAGCACCCTTGCCAAGGCACAGAGTGCGAATAATGATCTAAACAAAGAGAAAAAACAACAACCACAGCCTAGTAGTAACACACAAGGATGAATACGTGGGAAGGACTCACCATCTTTGATGTGTCGAGCAATGTGCACCTGTTGCATGTAGTAGTCTTTCTCGAAGGTGTTGTTCCACATCTGCAACCACAAGGGCTTTGTGATGTCTAAGAAATCGGGATCGGCAACACCCAGGCCAGCATCGCTCTCATGTATATCCGAATCACCGTGACTCATATTCAATGCACCCACCTTATAATCCTCCAACATACTCACAGCAAAGTCTGAATGCTCGTGCTCGTGCGGATCTTTCATGATCTTTGTTATGTCTTTGCCCCCGCTCATAAGCACTATATCCGGACCTCCCGGATGTGCCTCCAAGAACTCTGTAACATCATATACACTGCCGTTGTGTATCACCCAGCAATCGTCGGCTGTGTGATGCACTGATACTTCTTCGTATGTATAGCTGTCCGCTTGCTTCTGCGCTGGTGGTGGGTCTGAGCTCAACTTGGTTGTTTCTGTGACAGCCATATTGTCCCACGTAGCTCTGTATAAGGTCGGCTTGGAAATGTGTATATAGGAAATATATAGATATAAGGAGTATGCAATGCAATAACGAATATGTGCTGATAGAACGGACACTGTGACACGAATGCACAGAATAGTGTTCTAAAGTATTGATATGATATTCTATTTCCACGATATCGCTAAAATTGCCGCTGGCACCCGTGTGTGAACTGTCATCCCTCTGTCTGTGCTGAATGCCCATCATGATTTTATTCGGCTTCTATTGCAAAAAGAGTTCGAGAGCAGCCCTTGGCCCTTAGGCCGAGACCCGGGGCCGGGGGCCCGGGTACCATATGAAACTGAGAAAGAAAGAGAGAAAGTGAGGCAGAGGGGCAGAGAGCACCAGACACATGATGGTGCAGCTACAGTTCGTTTCTCGTTAAAACGTTTGTAATCGATACTTTTTTTCTGATGAAGTAAAACGTCTATGTTATAGTATCCGCGGGGGTTCTTCTGTAGTGAGCAGTCTACCCTTTTACGTTAAAGCGTTTATATTCATTTTTGAGATCCCGTTCAACGTTTACTGCATTTGTGCAAACGAATTGACAGGTAGTCAGGTACAGTATATACTTGGCCTGCAAAATGCAAGGCTGCAGGACAGCAGGAGTGCCGGCACAAGAGGCCACAAGAGTCAAGAGCTCAAGATTCGAGATTCTTTGTTCCGAGAGAGTAAAAAGTCAAGTACAAAAGGTGAGTCGTCAAAATTACAATCTCATCATCATCATTCATCAGTGAACCTCGAAACTTCAAAAGTGCAACATTTCCGAAGACAGTCCGAAGTTTCGAGTTTACTAAAAAAGACCCCCCATGAAAAATACTAATAAAAACAAAGACCCCCCACAAAAAAATATACAAAATTTATAGGGTTTTCTTCATTTTTTTTTAAAGAACAATAGTTTTGGAAAATTCAGTTTATTTATTGAACAATAGAAATCATAAATACTAGGACGAAAAGTCAGTGAGACAGCTCAGACTCATCAGCGGCTCACAGTCTTAGACCTCAGTGAGACTCAGTCCTCAGCAGGCCTTAAACGGCCACTTGGATGATGGTGGAATGGTTCATGACTCTCTTGTGGTGTCATGTGTTTAGGGTATACTGTGAAGGCGAGACTGACAGGCGGTGCCGCGGTGAGGTGGGTCTGAAACTAAAAAAGACAAAAAAAACAACAACAACTTTCTATACGTTTATTTCTTGTTTCATTTGCTTAGAATGTATTTTATTATTATTGGAAGCCAGAAGGCTATGAAAAAGGGATTTTTTTTTTAAAAGAGAACAGTATATGATGTAAATACCATACGTAGTATTTCTATATATATAATATAGTACATGTACCAAACAGCACAAGTTCTTTTGCTTTTTAACACAAACAAGATATGAGCACTGTAAATTTCTAGAAGCCACTGAGAACGTTCACATTTCCAAGTTCCAGACGACGAAATTGCGACATTTGAAAAAAATAAATGCAATTCCACTGTTCTATTAACCATATTCTCCATCGAAAAAAGTTTGCGCAATGCCGATTTTGAAATAAAACATTTTGTTTTTGTAAAATTCTATTCTGAAGGTCGTTGGTCCAATGGTCTGTGCCTCGTGAGCTGGCAAGAAGAGGCCTGACAGGCTGACGGTCACACTCGTCGGAGCCTGGAGACGACAATAAGTCGGAGAGGCGGAGACTCTCTCGCCTCTCGGAGTCTCACGCCTCTCGGAGTCTCTCGAGTTCTCTCGGAGTCTCTCGAGTCTCGAAGTCGAGACTCGAAAGGGACGCTCACTGTCACCGCAAAACAAGAAGAGAGAGAGAGTGTGACACATCACACAAGACACAAATCACAACTCACAAGTCTCACAACCGTAGAAGTATATAGGGCGGCAAGGTTGCCCAGT